CTCTTTTGGGCTGGTTAAAAAGAGAAACAGAAATATGTAGATCGGCGGTCAAAGAAACAGAGAGGTGAAAAGCGGCTCAAAGCAAGCAAATAGGTCGTTCTCATCTTAGGACTACAGTTGAGCCCAAAATTTTCGTTGCTAAGCGTGACCTTTGTTAAGCGAATTTTGCCCCGTTTTATGACCCCTTGGTTCAGCGAATCACTGCAGTCGTTAAGTTGGAAACGCGGATGTTATGTGAATCTGGCTCGCTCCTGGACTTTGCTTTGTCGAAAGGTCGCACAATTTGATCCGGGGACACGGCCAATGATGCGAGTATGTGTTCACCCTTCATGCCCAATGTAAGATATTGTGGGAAAACCAAACATCTAACCCCCCTAACCAATGTGTTTGTAACAATCATGTGCCTTAAATTTTTTTCTCGTTGGGGGGGGATTAGGGATGCGGTGAAGGGTCGGGAAGAATCCTAACCCTAAAATGAAACCCACACTTGTCTTTCTGTAACCTTCCCAAGACCAATGCGGTGGTTTTAGGCTGGGGGGGGGGGATGGTCCCTTTTTTTGCATTGTATTTGTACTGTACAACAAACCGATCCGTTTGGTTTCAAGACTATAGGGAGCGGGGGGACGGATTTTGCTTTCACACAACCCATGTTTAAACGTAATCCGAATGTATTAATATTATTCTAGGACATTTCCGTAACCCTGACGAGTAGAATGCTTGATGAAAACCAGGTGTGTAGGTTTAACAGTTTGGTGTGTTTTCAATAAACGATGCCTGGAACGAATATGTCTCGTCTCCGTTCTTTTGGGCTTTCCCTGCAAAATCAGGTAGGTGTTCGCAAAATGAAAGGATTTATTTGTTTTTTTGGTTCAAGGATCGGTGACCTCCTTACCTGTCTTACCCAGCGTGGATCTTTGATGGAGGGGAGGGAAATATTTTCTCCTTCCTTTTGTTTGGTAAATAATAAATTTTATTAGAGTTTACAAATACAAAGATAAACTAATAGGAACTAATAAAAATGTAAAAAGGAGATGCATTGAAAAAGTGTGAAATGAAAATAGATGATAGGATAGATAGATAGATAGATAGATAGATAGATAGATAGATAGATAGATAGATAGATAGGTAAATAGATAGGTAAATAGATAGGTAAATAGATAGATAGGTAAATAGATAGATAGATATAGATGAGATATATAGATGAGAGAGAGACAAACATGGGCATCTACATGCCTGTTTCAACTTGTCAGATAGATAGATAGATAGATAGATAGATAGATAGATAGATAGATAGATAGATAGATAGATAGATAGATAGATAGATAGATAGATAGATAGATAGGGATGGATGGATGGATGGATGGATGGATGGATGGATGGATGGTCAGTAGAATGTCTGATGGAGCAACAAATGGATGGGTGGATAGACATAAGAAAAAACATACAAATGTCTTCACCCTTCATCAAGACAAATATAAGCAATTTCAATAATTTATCACCTTTCTTGATACAATAACAAAGGATATCTTCTTTACATATCTCTTGTCAATAAACAGATTCTTAAAAGCTTCCATCTTTAAATCCCAATCAGCAAAAGTCCATTAAGATTTACCAGAAACAGCAACATATATATTTTAGCCTTAATCAAATAAATCCATTTTATATTCCTTTGCTTTTAACACAATCATTTACAACTTTCTCTAAAATAGACATTTAAAAAAACACCTTCTCCTTTCTTTCCAAGTGTGCTAATATGACCGTGAGGCTGCTAGTAAGGGGAGGAAATTAAGCGTTCTCTTTTTCCGTTTTAATTTTTCCCTTTTATGGCTCTCATTATCTTTTGGTCTGGAGCTTATCATGGGTCTCGGCAGCTGGGAGGATGGAGGCGTAATGAACGATTCATCGGATATTAGGTTGCGGTTGGTTCGGATATCCAGCTGAATCCAGTTCGCCACTTGGTTGAAGTATAATTTATGGGAATCCCTCTATCAGCCTTACTAAGCAGATCAGACAGGACACCCAGCCAGATAAATTAAATCTGCTTTATTGTAAAGCTAGATTAGCAGAATGTTGCAAGACTGAAATTACAGCCCCCTTCCTATACAACTCCAAAAACTAGGGCAGGCTCTCTCTGGGACTTCTTGTTCCTTCCATTATACAGCTATGGGCTATGTAATCTCTTATCTGACAGTTCCTTAGGTGGTGTCTCTTGATCCAGTCTCTCAGGATCTTCCCTCTCATCTCTCTCTTACTACGAGGAAGCAGATTCTGGTCTCCAGTTGCCCCTCTGTACTGTACTGGATGATATTTTATTCCAGGACTGGCCTGAGGTTCGGTACAAAAAGGACTGAGATGATATAAAGAATTTTAAAACCAGGAAGGAAATTTGTTTGGAAAGGTGATTTGTTCTGAGTTGGCCTAAAACTGATTTTCAAACTCATGGGGGGGGGTTAAGCTTTTGGCAGAAGCTACCATTTTGTCCTGTTGCTTTTTACCACTCTTGTTTCTTGTCCTCTTTCCATTCCTTTCATCTCACTTTTGAGGATAATTCAAGTATGGTGGGGCTGTCCCTTTGGACTGATATTTCCTCTATAAATTGCTTCCCTTCCTTCGAACCATCTAAGATGATTGACAATAATCAGAAATGGTGGTGATGAATTCTTGGTTTTTAAGCAGGTGGCTCTGTTTTATAAAGTGAGTGTGCAAAAGAAAAAAAAATACGGAAAAGAGGTTGTTTAAAGAGAGACAAATCTGGAGCTTGAAATTAGGAGCTGATTCTTGTGGATTTTGAAAGCCTGCTGCAGGATTTCCTGTCAGGCAATCGAATTACTATTTGCAAATAGCATTTGGATGTTCACAGTTTGGGGGTTATCTTGCGGAACGCAAGTTCCCTGCAAGATTAAAAAACAACAACACTTGGAGGGTGGAATGATGACAGGAATGTGTTCACCATGCCAACATAAGATCATTGTTGGAAAACAAACTAACATCTCACCCCCTAATTAAGGTATTTGCCACAAGCAAGCTGCAACGTTTAGCTGGGACTCAATTTTATTTCATGCGGAATGTGCCATTTCTATTTTGACTATCAAAAATGGGAGTCCCGCGTTTGACCTTCTTCCTCGTGTTTATGAGCCACTGTGAACAAAATCCTGGCTTTTCTCTTAGAAAGTTCTGCTGGACTTTATTAAACCAAATTAAATGTCTCCTAAATAAACCGAGGGTGACCCTAATTCCTGTTTTCGTGTTAGCAAACCGACTTAATTGCCAGGATCTGCCAATATTTCTCGTTTAGCTAATTGGTCTTCATTAGGATTGTCGGGGTTATTTAGGGTCTGAATTAACTTGGAAAAAAATGCACCTACTTGCTGAGGTTGGGAGAAGATTTAAATGTTACGTGTTGGCAACTTTCTTCAAAGGAAGTATTTTGGGATCGATAAAAATTCGTCTCTGAAAATATTTGAGTCTTAAATTGCATTTGTGGTTCGTCTTTTTGCTGTTTTTTTTATTATTATTGTCTGTTACATTCTGCCTCTCTAACTTATTTTGGGCAGGGAGAACTGGATGCAAGGAAATTTGAAGAGAACAGAAGAGGGCAAAGAGTTACACAGGTTTGCAATAATTTAGAGAAGCTAAGGATGAAACGGAAATGCATCAATTTAAAGAGCGATGCTTACTCAGGGCTACAAGTAGTTCTTGGAAATGGTGGAGGAGGAGACTACCTATTTTATGTATAAATCTGAAAAATTAAGCTGCAAAAAGAAGCTTCTGTCAGTCGTGGAGAATGTATGTCACTTTGAGGTGGATATAACAACTCTTATTACTGAGCAATCATAGCTGAATCTCTATAACCAGGACCCTCCAGATAAGTAGGACTACAACACCTAGAATGCACAGGCTGAGTTGCAGTATGGAGTCCTTGGTGCTCTCTGAGCTTGGCTGCTTGCTTGCAGACATTTCATTACCTGAACAGATAACATCATCAGCGCGAGGGAATGTGGGGTTTAACTCTGTTTATCTATAGTGTTTTGCCCTGTGATTGTTGGTCAGCACGTCGTTTTCTCCTTGGTACTTCCTTAAACAGAATATTGCTTTCTGCTGGATTGTTTGTCTGGTGTTAATCCCTGCTTATCTGGGTGTGTGCTTTTTCCCATTTCCTTTCCAAGGGGGGGAAATGAAGTCCCACCGTACAAAAGAAGCACATTTATTACGTGACCAAGAGACAGGATGTGGATTTTTAGCCCCGGCTGCAGTGTTGGACTTATTAAGCAGAGTATCACTGCTGCCGTGGATTGTTTTTTTTTAATGAAGATATCACTTTAGCCTTTCTATATATTGTCCTAGTAGCGTTCGAAGAACACAGCAAAGGTGAAGATGACTTTTTCCTTTGTCCCATATTTTAACCCCCCCCCCAAAAAAATCCCCAATTCTTGGAAAGGAGATAATGTGTCTGTCCCCTGGCCCCCAAACTCTGTATTTCTGGGGGGGGGGGAGAATTAATTGATCCTTGCAGAACACAAGAATAGACCTTTACCCTTAGCGATCAAGCCATCTGACGTCTAGTTCTGGGGGAGCAGTGGGGACCCAAAGTGCTTTTTAAAATAATTTTAAGGAGAGAAGAAGAAAAAGAAAGAACGAGAGCTCAAACAAGGATGGAACCATAACGAAAGGGATTGGCTAAGGCAGTGTCCTTCAGCATCAGCAACTTTTAAGATGGGTGGTCCTCAACTCTCAGAATTTCCCAGCCAGCTTTCACAGACTTCAACTCCCAATATGCTGGGTGGGGAAGTTCATCCATCTTAAAGTTGCTGAAATTTGAGAAACTCTGGTATAAAGAAGGGGAACTTGAGTTTTCCCGGCTGCGGATACCTAAATTCCATCTACAACCAGCTCTGAAACTTGCGGAAGGCTCAGATTGGCGAAAGTCAAAGCAGAAAGTACTAAATTGCTTAGGCTTGCATGTACAGATAGAAGATGAATGCTAGCTAGTTCTCCCTCCCTGCCTCCCCCCCCTTTATCCCAGATATACGGCCTTTTCCATGGCATCCTCCGCCTTCATATATTCCAAAAAGGTAGGGTAGCTAGTACATTCGTAGCGGTTGTTACTCCGAACGTATTTAATGAACTCTGGAGCTCCTGGGTAGAGAATGTTGTCGGCTAGAAGGATGGAGCCCTTGCGCAGGAGACCACATTCCTGGAAAGAGGAAAGAAGGGAAAAAATTTAGACCTCTCTGAACATGTCCTCAAAAGGCAACTGGACTTTGTTTTTTCCCTTGGGAAAAAACTGAAGAAGCCTCCTGGATGAGAAGCGAAACATCTTCAAGGAAAAACTAAGGAGTTGAAGGCACCAAGGTTGAGAAACCTTGAGAATTTTGGATTATCAAATCATCGATTATCTCCTTATCAAGAAGAGATCCAGCCTAGAACTCAGGAGAAATTTCCTGTCAGTGAGGACAATTAAATCGATGGAAAGTGTTGCCTCCAGAAGTTGTGGGTGCTCCATCATGGGAGGTTTTCAAGAAGAGATTGGGCAGCCATTTGTCTGGAATGGTAAAGGCTCTCCTGCTTGAGCAGGGGGTAGGTCTAGAAGACCTCCAAGGTCCCTTCCAACTCTGTTACTGTGTGATTAAAATGCATGAGGAAAAGGAGAGATTAGAAGCAAAACCCAAATCACCTCAAACTCGGCGTCTCCTTGGGCCTCGAAATAACACTCATGCTCAAGGAGGAGAAAACAGCAAGTTCTCAGAATCCCTAATAAGGTTGCAAAAATGTAAAACTTGTTCCTGGGGTGCGGGGAGAGAAAAATATGTCCAAATCCTTAAGATTTCCAAACATAAAATTAACTTACTTCAAGGAGAATAGTGTCTGGGGCGTATCTCTCCTTCCAGTGGTCAAGAAAGACAAAATCCAGGGTTTCCACCTCGTATTTCTCCTTCAGCTGAGGGATAACATCCTGCGAATGGCCTTCAATGATGGTCACCTGCAGGCAGGAGCAACTGATTTGAGCACAGACTGACCCCACAAAGCCCCCTCCCCAAGGATCCTTTGACTGGGATTTGTCTCAGTTTTTCTGTCTTGATATGGTAGGAAATTAAACCTGGGTGCTATTCCCACAATGATTCCCAATGCCCAGAGAGCATTCTGGGAAATTAAAGCAGTCTAAAGATGAGGACTACTCTCCTAGAGAGAGAAAAAACGGCAAATACAAAATGAGGAGTCCCTGATGCTTTTTGAGCTTGGCTGCTTTCTTGCAAATGTTTCATTACCAAACTAGGTAACATCATCAGTGCTAGCAGGGAGTGGAGAGGAAGAGGAAGAGGTGGGCAGTAGGGCCATTGGTGTTCTCTGATCTTGGTGATTTTCTTCCAGATATTTCATGACTCAACTAGGTAGCAGCATCAGTGCTAGGAGGAAATGGGATTTGGTCTCTTGTAACACTGATGATGTTACCTAGTTGGGTCATGAAATGTCTGCAAGAAAACCACCAAGCTCAGAGAACACCAAGGACCCCTCATTTCAACCTTCAACTACAGATATTCTTCTTTATTGGTTGTGGCTTTTCCTGTAGACTTGTATGTAAACAGAGAGCAAACCCTTCTAACACTGATGATGTTACCTAGTTGGGTCATGAAATGTCTGCAAGAAAACCACCAAGCTCAGAGAATACCAAGGACCCCTCATTTCAACCCTCAGCTACAAATATTCTCCTTTATAAATACAAAACGATTTCCAAAGTTGTTGTTGTCTTGCAGCAGAACTGAAAGAGAGAATATAATAAGAACATAGTGATCGTTTTATTATGGAGTGTTCCAAATGTTTGTGATTTATAAGTATTGGGCGCCTCCAGAACGACTGTCGTTTTGGTCCAGTCCCTGCATTTGAATCCGCACTAAACAAACTTGAGAAGCAAGGAGGGGAAAAAAAAATAATTGGGCACGTTCAACAAATGAAACCCTTCTCTTCTCTCTTGCTGGGAAGAACACGACAGAGGTATCATCCAGACCTTATCGCTGAGTCCTGCAATTTCAATGATCTCTTTCGCGATGGCTGCAAACTCGGGGTTGAATTCGATGGTGAGGAGGCGAGCGTTGGGTTTCAAGAGGCGAGCGATCCTGATGGCCGAATAACCACAGTAGGTTCCCATCTCCAGAGCTACAGTTGGCTCAGCTTCCTCGACAGCTTTGTCTAGAATTATCCCTAGGGAGGACACAAAAGAAAAGGGGGGGGGGAGATTGGTTTTCGTTAAATTAAGCCATTAAGTGTTCGTTGATTCTATGGGAGCCTTTTCATATCCTAAACTGTAGGGAGATTCATAGGGAAAATGAGATTAGAACAATTAACCAGTGGAAAAACTTGCCTCCAGAAGCTGTGAATGCTCCAACACTGGAAGTTTTTAAGAAGAAATTGGGCAACCGTTTGTCTGAAATGGTATAGGGTTTTCTGCCTGAGCAGGGGGTCGGACTAGATGACCTCAAGGGTCCCTTCCAACCTATTCTATTCTATTCTATTCTATTCTATTCTATTCTATTCTATTCTATTCTATTCTATGTCTAATCTAATCTAGTCCAGTGATGGCGAACCTCTTAGAGACCGAGTGCCCAAACTGTAACCCAAAACCCATTTATGCATCGTCGGGTGCCGGGTGGGCGTGGCCCATTGGGTGGGCATGGCGGCGGTGGTAACAGCAGACTGGGTGGGACTAAAAAGTTCAATCAATCAATTCCAACTTTGCAAGATCTTTTTTTTTCCCCGTGAGAAGTTGAAATTGACTGATTGATTGAACCTTTTTTTTTGTACACGGTGGCAGAGGCCTAAAGCGAAAAGGTTTTATAAAACCCAGCTGAAGGCCTAGGACTGGGGCGACGGCGCGCGTGCCCACAGAGAGGGCTCTGAGTGCCGCCTCTGGCACCCGTGCCATAGGTTCGCCACCACTGGTCTAGTCTATTTTATTCTATTCTATTCTGCTCTGCTCTGCTCTGCTCTGCTCTGCTCTGCTCTGCTCTATTCTATTCTATTCTATTCTATTCTATTCTATTCTATTCTATTCTATTCTATTCTATTCTATATTCCATTCCATACAAGGGAAGAACAATTTGCCATTATGATAAATGAGCAAATGGACTTTGCATTATCTGAAGATTTAAGATGGTTCTCAGGATTTGCTACATTTCAACATGTGACATTTCTTTTCTCAAACTTGGCAACACTGAGATGAGTGGACTTCAACTCCCAGAATCCCTCAGCTAGCATTCATGGACTTCAACTCCCAGCATACTGGATGGGGAATTTTGGAAGTCGAAGTCTACATGTCTTAAAAGATGCTAAGTTACAGAAACACCGGCCCAGGGTGTCAAAAAAATCAGGAGTCTCGTAGTACTTCGATAGTATCCAGACCAGTGTTTCCCAATCTTAACTATTTTCAGATGTGGGGACTTCAACTACCAGAATTCCCCAACCAGCATTTTTATCTACAATTCTGCTTGGTGCTAGATCATAAATGCTTGAAGTCAAAGAAGCCCAGGTCCAGATCATTCTCAATTTGGAAAATGAAACAGAGATTTCCTCCTATGCCACATTGCTGATTTAATTCCCTGCAAAACACAAACCCCAAGTGTTATCAGTTGTCTTTCCTGCTATTCATATCAGATACAGTTCCCCTGAAAATGTGCGACAGGCTTTATGTTTGCCTCCAAAATAATCACAAGCACTGCGAAGAAGAGAATGGCAAATATGAAATCAAGAAAAAGACAGGTGGAAAGCGAATGAAAATTTCAAAATATTCACAAGTACCAGGTAGTCCTTGATTTACATTTACAAACTGTTCGAAATTACAATGGCATTAAAAAAAGGGGGACTTATGAGTGTTTTTCCACACTTACAACTGCTTCAGCATCTCAAAGACTACATGGGGCTTGGCAACTGACCCATATTTATGACAGTCACCGTGTCCCAGGGTCACGTGATCAATTTTACGACCTTCTGACAAGCCAAGTCAATTTTGTAAAGCAGATTTGTTTACCAACCGTGTTTCTAACTTAACAACTGCCGTGGTTTGCTGAACAACTGTGGCAAAAAAGAGTCATAAAATGGGGCAAAATTCAATTAACAAATGTCTGCTTAGCAGCAGAAATTTTGGGCTCAATTGTTGAAAGTGGAAGACTACCTATTTGCTTGCTTTGATCCGCTTTTCACCTCTCTGTTTCTTTGACCACCAATCTACCTATTTCTGTTTCTCCTTTTAACCAGCTCCAAAGAGAAGGCAGCTTGTTAAATGAAGGCTAATCTGAAACCGAGGCTCTCGGTTCTTAGCTAGGACATCTTTATTTTTTTTAAAAAAAAAATCTCTTAAAAGAAGGCGAAATGTTAAGTTACCTTTCTCGTCCCCAACGTTCATGGCCCACTCATACTGACCACAGTACTTATCGATGCACTTCAACACGCTCTCCGGATCCCCTTTGACGGCGTTGTAGGAGACCGAATTTAAAATCCTCTGCTCTTTGCTCTGATCCATGACGAAGTTGGTGATCTTCTCCAAAACCAGCTCGTTCCAGAAGATTTTGGCGTGGACGTTATGCTTGACCAGCAGAATCGTGGCCACCAGGACCAGAACGGAGCCAACGCCTAACGAAACGAGGATGGTCAAAATCCAATTTTCCAACATCTGGAAAGATGGAGAGAGAGAGAGATGAAAGCAGAGAATCCGTTAAGGTGGCGGAGAGATGGAAAAGCCTCCGCTGTAGGGCTTTAAGGCAGGAATGGATTCAGAGAGACCTTAAATCTTCCAAGAGCGTGCATCCTTTACTTGAAATGTTTTCTGCTTACAGTTTGACAGCACCTGTTTGTATGCAAATGTAGAGGTTTTGCATCATTGCCAGGTACTCTAAAAATAGAAACAGTGGACATTCAGTGACAATGTAATGTACTACAGGGTGAAAAAAATTACTGGAGGGAGATCATTCCGAAGAGAATTTGTCCTCTCGGTAAGCTCAGTGGAGAAGACAGAAAAGGCAGTAGTGTGTACATCTGTCTGTCTGTCTGTCTATCTATCTATCTTATCTATCTTATCTATCTATCTATCTATCTATCTATCTATCTATCTATCTATCTATCTA